TTCTATTCTTGGAAGATAGGTTTCTAAGGAGCAAGGAGTTGAAGATATGGAGAGTCCTCATAGTTTCGAGTTGAAGATATGGAGAGTCCTCACAGTTGCAAGTACAAACCCACTTTTCCCTTAATGCATTTTATTTTATGTTTAGAGCTTTTGTATGGGCTATGTCCAAAAGTTTTATTCAAAGTGTTGTAGATGGTTTGAGACAAAGTATAGAAAAAGACTTCCGCTTGCTTTTATGAAAATGACTTCGATTGTATGGTTTTAAAGAAAAGTTTTAAATTCTGCACTATTTTCCTATGCTCCTATGTTATGAATGCTATGAGGCTTGTATGAGGCTCTTCGGAGTCTTGTACACCGTGTTACATCTGAGGTGTAAGCTTGGGTCATGACAATTACATTGCTGAACCACATTCCAGAATTAATCACTGATGAGGAAAATGTTGAATTGGGTCAATTCCAAATGATGAAGAACTGAAGAGTGCAATATTTAAGCTTAATGGTGATAGTGCAAGTGGGCCTGATGGACTTACAGGTAAATTTTATCAAGTCTGCTGGGACATTATTGGTAAAGAGATTTGTAGAATGGTGCATACATTCTATGCAGGAAGTTCTGTACATAAGTCTATTACTCACACTAATTTGATACTCATACCCAAAAGGGATATTATTTGGTCCTTTCCAGATATGTGACCTATTAGTCTGAGTAACTTATTTAATAAGATCCTCTCCAGGATAATTCATGATCGGCTAGAAAAGTTTCTTCCAAAGTTAATTTCTCCTAATCAGTCGAATTTTGTTAAGGGCAGAAGTATTGTTGAAAATATACTACTGGCACTGGAGATTGTTACAGTTATTACTAAGAGAGGCAAACCTGAAAATGTGATCATTAAGCTGGATATGTCAAAGGCGTATGATAGAGTTTCTTTATTTTTTATTATGAAAGTACTAAAAAAGATGGGATTCTCTGAAAGGGTGGTTGATTTAATTTGGAGACTCTTTGCTAACAATTACTACTCTGTCCTTCTTAATGGCCAATCTCATGGATTTTTTCATTTCACCAGGGGTGTTAAACAAGGGGATCCCATATCTGCAACTCTGTTTATCATCTCGGTTGAGGTTCTTCCCAGAGCACTTAATGCACTCTTTAAAGATCCTCATTATGTGGGGTATGGGATGCCAAAGTGGAGTGCCAATCTTAATCACTTAGCATTTGCTGATGACATAATTATTTTTACTTCTTCTAGTGGCTATTCTTCGGAGAAAATTATGTTGATTCTGCATTATTATGAGCAACAATCAGGTCAGAAGATTAACAAGGACAAGAACTCTTATTACCTTCACCAGAATACAACAGCAACCACTGCAAATCAAATGGCGCAAATCACAGGGATGGTAAGAGGGTATTTTCCTATGAAATACTTAGGGTGTCCTATTACTCATACTAGAAAGAGAAAGGAACATTATTCTGAATTATTTGACAAAATTAAAGGAAGATTGCAGAGTCGGAAAGGTATAATGTTGTCATATGGTGGTAAGGAAGTCCTCCTTACAAGTGTTCTACCAAGCATTCCCATTTATGTACTTTCTTCTATTACTCCCCTAATGTGTGTGATAAAAAAAATTCATAGAATCTTTGCAAAATTCTTTTGGAGTAATAAGAAATATAGCAAAAGTAAACACTGGTCGAAATGGGTGGATGTGTGTCTTCCTAAAAGTGAAGGGGGTCTAGGATTCAGGTCCATGTTTGATGTATCAAAAGCTATGTGTCCAAAGCTTTGGTGGAAGTTTAGAACTCACAATACAATGTGGTCTAATTTCATGTGGACTAAGTATTGTAGAAAGCAAATTTCGGCACATATTCAATCAAAAGGAAGATCCCAAATATGGAAGCACATGTTGGAAAATAGGGACATACTCGAAAAACACATGTGGTGGGAACCTAGAGGAGGCAACCCTACTTTATGGTATGATAATTAGTCCAGGTTGGGTTCTTTACATCTTCATGAATCTGATGTGCACACATGCTATCCAATGAAACATACTGTGGAATTTTTGAAGGAGGGGTGATGGGATTATGCTTTAATGTGAGATTTTGTTCCTGAATATGTAGTGGATCATGATCAAGCCAATTTAAATTCTGCTTATCTCAGTAATCATATTGACAAAGTATGGTGGATAGAAACCAGTAAAGGTATTTTCACAGTTAAATCGGCATGGGGACTTTTAAGGCACAAGAAAGAAATAAAAGAAGACTTGATAGAGTTGTGGATAAAAAGGAATTCCTTTCAAAATCTCATTCCTGGTTTGGAGAATTTGGTTTAGAAAGATTCCTGTGGCATGTCTAATGCAAAGATGGAATTCAAATATTTCAAAAGAGTGTAGATGTTGTGCTAATCCAATAGAAGATACTGTAGAGCATCTCTTTCTTGATGAAGAAGTTGCTACAAGAATATGGAATTACTTTAGATCAGTGTGTTAGGCTATCCCTAACATCATTCTATGGTTTTTTGTGGAAAAGGAGGAACATTATCTTGCATGGAGGTGTATTTTCAGAAGTTAGAGTTATTTGGGGCATAACGGATACAATTTTAAAATTTATTCATTTAGATTTAATGTGAACTGTAGCAGCAATTCATGGCCCCATATAATAGCCGAAATGGAGCACTATAGACTTAATTTTGAGTATAGATTTGGAAAATGGGAACCCCCTCCTAATAATCTGTTGAAATGTAACACAGATGGAGCATCTAAAGGTAATCCTGGACCTAATTCAGCGGCATTTTGTATTAAGGATCATGATCGTAATTTGATAGTTGCTAAAGGTTTCAAACTTCCAGACATGACAAATAAGGTAGCAGAAGCTATAGATATAAGGGAGAGTCTAATTTATTGTAGTGAACATGGTATTAAACATGTTATTCTTGAGACGAACTCTTTAACAATGGTTCATATCTTAGAGGGTGAATGGGATGTACCATGGAGTGTAGCAATCGAAGTTAATGCCATCAGAAGGTTGAGAGGGGTGGTTCCAGGAAGAGTAAAGCATTCCTTTCGGGAAGGAAATACTCTTGCTGATTTTTTTACTAATCTAGTTTTCTCTTTTGCAAGTGATTTTCAAATTATTATTTTCAGGATATACCTAGCGAGGGAAGAAAGCTACTCAATCTAGATAAGCAAGGCACACCATAAATAAGGAGACATATAAAAGAATACAAATAACAGTAGCCTCAAAATTCAAGACCTTTTCTGGTTATGCAAGGTATAGTTAAGCTAATCCTTGAAGTAAATTAAATAGATTTGTGTAGTTACACCTAGTGAAAGCTTGGGGTGACCATCAGTACCAAATCAAAGTATTAGCTTCTTGCGAATCTGCAAAAATCAATAAAGGGATGTTGCATATAAATTTTCTTATTCATAGTGGTAGTATTAACTAATTAGAGACTCTAATGGTGGTATCAATCCCATTGGGATTCAACCCATTGAGCCTTTGAAAGGTTATTATTACTATGGTGAAATGGAGAAGAGGCTCAAATACTTTACTGCTATTTTATAAAGTTCTAATCTACAATGTTTAAATGAGATTTATGCAGAATAGCAACTCAATATTAGATAATAGGTGTATGAATTGGATCAATCTTGAAGAATCGGATCTCAAATTACCTGCATGCTTGTTGGATTCTGAACTTGAAGGTCGTCCATTGGGGGAAGTGCTTGGATTGTGTCTCCATTCATGGGACTGAATCGACATTCTTGGAGTTTCGATCGATAATGAAGGGAGAAGATGAACTTATGGAATACTTCTTGAAGATTCCTTTTTTACTGGTGGATGAGTTATTGTCCATTTGTCTTTGATGCATTTTATTTTTTTATATTTTTTTTGGTGTTATTTTCTATGGATTAAGCCTCCTCTGTTGGGCTGAATATTATGCTTTTTAATAAAAAGTGTCTATGCCACAACCTTTAAAATAAAAAATATATACATATACTCTTATAGTATCATTGACTAATGAGTAATTTTTTGAGAAAAGACATAAATTCCACCTTGAACATGTATCGAAAAGTCACCTACACTCTTAAACTATCATGTTGACCTATTACACACCTTTACTATTCAAAAGTGAATTTATTTACCCCTTAAAGCTGACGTGGCAAAATTACACACTTTTACTATTTAGAAGTGAATTGATATATTAATATATAATCAGTTAAGCGAAATTATCAGTCATAATGATACTAATACAATATATGATACTGATTTCGCATAAGTTAAGTGAAAGTTATCAGCCTTAATGAATGGGGGAATGGGCGGTAAAAGTTATCAGCCTTAATGAATGGGGGTAGGGCTCTAACTTTTTTAAGTGAATGAGTATTTTTTATTTACTTTGGAATAGAATATGAACATGTAATTATTTTGATTTTTATGGCCCATTTACGTTGTTTTTTAGGTCAAACAATGAGCCCATTCCAAATCCATGTCATTTTTTCTTGAGCAACTTTCACATATAGCAAACATAAAAATCATATTTGTATGTTATAGCTATAGTTTGCATAATTGCACTCCATAGAAAAATTTATGTTTGCTATGGATCTTTTGATTTGTATAATTCGCTAGATACATCCAATTTTATACAAATTATTCAGTTTTGTATATATTCATTTATACATTGTAATTTGTATAATACAATTTGTATTTGTATAATTTTAAGTGTATAGGATGAAAATATATATATTTATATTTGTATATACATTTTTCTCTCACTTTATACAAACAGAAACAGATTTTATACATTTGTATACCGAATGGGTAATTGTATATCGAACCAGATAGCAAAAAAATGGGATGTTTGCTGCAAATTACAAATAAAATAAACTATGACTATAGCATTTAATTTGAATTAATAGTTTTTTATTTCATACAATTTTCCCTTTTTCTTTCTTGAGATAAAACAAAACGAAAAAACCCCTAGAAAATAACTTTCCAATTAATTACGTCATAAAGGAAAACGCCGCTCCATGGACCTGTTCATCTACCTCGGCTAGCAAAATCCTACCGACCACCGTCCACATTCCAGAGACACGCTTAGAAGAGACACTAATTAGCACAAATTTCTTCATTTTGTGCTTCAGATTTATTCAAACTCCTTTGCAGCAACTAGCAAGTGCTCCAAATTGCGCCAACGCCTTTGGTCTGATTACAACAGATATTTATATCTGTCGTCGCTTTTACCTTACTGGTTCATTTATTTTGGGGGAAAATACCTACTATATCTAAATAAATATAGATTTAAACTACATTCTATTTTTATGTTTTTCGTGTAATCAACAATTCTCTAAAGACACTGCATCTAGAATTGATCTTCAGACTCAATATAGACTGAAACAAAGTAGAAAGGGAGACATTTGTATATATGGTTTTAGTACAACCCGTTACTTTTTTTTGATATATTACAAAGTTACCTATTTCAAAAACATTATATATGTCAACTAATCAAACAAGTGCTATTTTTCATTTATCTTTTAATTCCACTCGACTCTATTACTATGAAACTGCAATGCAATAAATATGAGATACTGTTAGTTGGGATTTATGGTAATCTCGTAATATATTTACAAAATCTGAATACATTAAATGAGGGTGACAAATGCACACCACTATAAATGGAGATATTAGTTATGCAAAGATTGTAATCTGTGTTAATTTTTGTACACCTCGACTAATTTCACGAGCTACCTGCCACCTCCCACAATCCACAAGAAACAAGTACCTCGTAACTTTGTTTACCAAGGATAGGAAAAATGAGAATAATCACTTGGTGTTTTTTGTCTTTTTTGAGTTTTGAACTTGAAACCTTATAGTTTTCAACCACTTCATTGACCACGAGGCCAAACCCTTGGGTACATGCGATCATTAATAATTAAAAAATAGTTGTACATGAATTACTTATTTTAATGGAGTGGTCTTGCATTTAAGTAGTTAATACCTACATTGCTAATTTAGTAATTGAGTTTACACAAATAGGAGCCATAATAGGAATGAGTCGAATTTGAAAATGTACATTCCAAGGGCACCCAAGGGTGTGGAATTAAACAAACATATTAAACACTTTTTTTGAGAAAGGTAACACTGATATTTATAGAACACTTTTGTAGCATCACGTTAGTGTTATAGGGAATGACACACTAAAGTGTAATAGAGGAAGATGACTACTTTGGCCTTCGCAGTCTATAAAATTAGAAGTTTCTGTCTAAACTTCATGGCTACTAATTAGTATTTGATATTTATCTCAAATTGTTGTGATCCTTGTGGAGATATGGTTTTAGTGCAAAAATGTGTTGTTAATTTTGAAGGCAATGAGGTCTCAGAAAAAAGTTGTTTATCTTTTCTGCTATTCTCTTTGTGCTTGTTCAGCATGCCCATTCTCCTTCTGTTTTCTAAGCTAAATTAATTTGAAAGTTTTCACTTATTGTTGACATTATATATTCCATGGTTTATTAACATAATACTGCCAATTCAGGTATGCGGAGAACAAAGTGAATATGTGATCTCAGGCATGGAGTTTTTGCATCTCCGTATCTGCCTATAGAGGATGTTTGTAGTTCATCTTGTATTCTTAACATACTTAGAACAAACTTTGATGACCTTAGCAAGAAACAACCAAGTTTAAATAACATTTTCAAAACTAGAAAATTAAAACTAGTAGAAAAAAATAGAATTAGAAACAAATTAGAAACAATATACGAAATATTTTCCTTAAAGAAGAAAATCAAGTCGACTGAATGCACAGTGTCCTCTTAAGGAAATTGTTCCCCTCAAGTACCCGAGGTTAATGGAATATATCCTCCCAGGATAGAATGATCTTACTCACCGGTGTATCGGAACCTAAAACCACGTGTCAACGAACCACTCAACGATAGTAAAGTACACTTAGAATACTAGTTAAAATTAGTTCTCCTAAAATGATAGGAAATTCCTCAATTTATAGAAAACAAAGGGTAGTGTGTAAAGGTTCTTATTGTTCCTTACCAGAAAGGTCACAAACCTTTGGAAAAGTCACAATCTTTCGAAAAGGTCTATCAAGAAATTCCGGAGTCTTTCAACTTATTCACCGGCCTTATCTAGAGCACCTAGCTCAGAGATCATTGTAGAGCTAGCGATATATGTCTTTTTGGAGGATTTCAAGAAACTACTCCTCCACCAAAAGTAAATACATATCCACTCATGGATTTTACTTCATTTGATCCCGGTGATCCAATTTGCATCACTATATCCTTTCAATACTGTTGGCTATTGTTATAATGCAAGACATAGTTTTGAGTATGTTTTAAATACCTCAAAACTCTTTTCATTGCCATCTAATGAGTTTGATTGGGATTACTCGTGACCGAGTTAGTTTACTAATAGCGCATACTATATCTGATCGCGTACACTTCTTGATATACATCATACTTCCCAATACTCTAGCACAATCCAATTGTGAGTCAATTTCGCCTTCACTCATTTGAAATGCAAAGCTCACATTTATTGGAGTCTTGACAATATTGAAATCCAAATATTTGAACTAGTCAAGTACCTTTTTCGATGCAATGAGACTATGACAATGCTAAACATTATGGAGTTCTAAGGATTCTTATACCTAAGGTCGCATCAACAACTCCAAGATCTTTCATATCAAACTTGCTTTCTAGCATACGTTTAGTAGCATTTATCTCATTAGTGTCTCTACTGATGATCAACATGTCATCAATATGCAAACAAACAATGATCGTGTGATTTTAATGTAAACACATTTATCATCATTCTTAAATCCATTTGCCAACATCGTGTGGTCAAATTTCTTATGTCATTGTTTGGGTGCTTGTTTTAGTCCATAAAATGACTTAACAAGTTTGCACACTTTCTTTTCATTACCAGGAACCACAAAACCCTCGGGCTATTCCATGTAAATTTCTTTCTCCAATTCTCTATTTATGAAAATTGTTTTCACATTAATTTGATGAATTTTAAGGTCATATACCGCATCTAATGCAATTAGCATCTGAATGAATGTAATTCTAGTTATTGGCGAGTATGTGTTGACAAAATCAAAACATTATTTTTGTCTACAACCTTTCACAAAAAGTCTTGCTTTGTATTTTTCAATTATTCCATCGACTTTCATTTTCCTTCTGAAGATTCACTTTGAACCCAAAGGTTTATTTTTTGGAAGAAAATCAATTAACTTCCACTATGGTTGCTTAAGATTGAATCAATCTCACTATTGACACCACCTTTCCAAAAGGATGAGTCTACAGAAAACACAAGAAATGTTACAAAATAATATTCGAAGAAAGTAGATATCCTTTGACATTTACTACCCCTTCGAATCTCTTTATTAAGTACATTCTCCTTTTTTCTTTCCAAGGTCTTTTAGACCCTTCACTAGACTACTCAAGTCTAATTTTACAGTCCACAGTCATAGGTCCTATTTTAATCCTTTTAGGAATAGGAACTTGGACTTTGGCTAGACACCCCACACTTTGAAATATTTCAAGTTGGATTTCCTTCCTTTCCATTTATCATATGGAATAGATTGTATCCTGAACAAACAAAACTTTTTATTGCTTTCTTTCTGAAAAGACAATTTTTTTGTTGTTCCCTTTTGCTGTAAGAATAGCTTATCCGCACAAGTTTTGTGGTAAACCTGGAATTATAAGTAATGTAGCCATCAATTCCTCCAAAGTTCGATTTTTTCCATTCTGCAATTCCATTAGATTAAGGTGAATAGGGCAGTAATTTGATGGATAAATCCACTTTGCAAACATATTTCTGCAAAAGGAGATTTATATTCTCCATCCCTATCACTTCTTATCTTTTTCCCAACT